CCTCATCTGGTTTGCCAGAGTCAAGCCAGTGCCTCCTTTGCCACGCCTGGGCCGTGTTCGGCCCACATGCGTTATGCCATTGCCGACACCAGGCCAGCTGTGCCGGCTTCATGCCGAAGCCGGGCCAGATGCCTTTGCTGACTGGGTCTTTACACCTGGGATTTTTTTTTTCAATTTGTTACAATCAAATGGTACCATATCGTTCAATCCACAGAAAATAAATATACAAAACTAACTGAATAAACAACACAATAATTTTAACATGTATATTAAAATAAAATGAAAATTTTGAATTTATTTGTGAAATGAAAGTCACGTAATTTTCATTTTCTTAATTTTTATTTTTGGAAACAAGTTGTGACACTTTGCAGTAGCAGTAATATGTAACAAACATTTTAATTTAAAATGGACTATTCATACATCAAAATACAACAGGTTTTGTAGCGCTAAAGCATAGTTTTGTGTGAACATATGACAAAATCAGGAATAACAAAATATACATCAAGGACATGCACCCCACTAACTTGTTAAAAATAAAACACGGGAGGTTGGGGAAACCTGCCCCTTTCAAAAAAAAAAAAAAAAAAAACACTGATGAAACAGGCCTCATTTCATGCACATGGCCACCAACCTCAAGATGGCGTCCCTGCAAAGTCATTTTTGACAGGTTAGAAAAAAAACAAAGTTCAATACAGTATCACGTGATAACATGATCAACCGAACGTTTTACATGATACTGCGTATTCCTTTTTAGAAGATACTGTAACTAAGTGGCAATGTTAAAATGACAAACCTGACAAACGGGATGTAAGAAAGGCTGTACCTGGAAACAAAACAGCATTTTGAGTTCAACACCGTCTGCAAATGGGAGGTGGTATTTGAAAAAGAATGATAATAAACTCACCAGCTGAATGACAACACTTGCAGGATGACAAAAAACAACGCCAGACCAAAGTTTTTCCACTGGAACAACAACAACAAAAAAAAAGATGCAGTTACTGGCAAGTGGACTTTAACAAAAGCTTTGTCAAAGTGACATCATGACTCAGGAAGTCACTCACCCAGAAAGCGGCGCACAGCGTCAACACTAGGCAAGTCTGGAAGAATAGTATGAAAATCACATTTGCATAAGCATTGCACCAGAAGTGTCAAACTTATTTTAGTTCAGGAGTCACATTTATCCCAGTTTTAGTATATTTGCAGCCTGGCAAGCTATAAATAATGAGAATTATATAGTTCTCATTTTTACCACAATCATTTCTTAGCTTGTTGCAAATCGTTTGAGCACTCTGAAATCTCATATTTTTAAAAAATGAGTGCAATTTCAACAGTATTATGAGTCAATGTTTTAATTACACATGCAACTCGAACACCAGATCTATATATACACTGCACGTACCTTTTACAAAATAACTTATGATCTAAAAACCATTGTCAATGTACAGAAATGTTCACAAGGTGGCCCACTGGCCTAGGATTTTTTATGAAGGAGGCTCACTTTGCTCCTAAAACATGCCATTGTTTAGCTTTCACAAGTGTATCAAACTCTAAATAACAGTCATTTTCAGAATGCATTGAAGTGGACTTCACTGTACTTGTGTCGTTTTTTTTTTAAAATAAAACACGGGAGGTTGGGGAAACCTGCCCCTTTCAAAAAAAAAAAAAAAAAAAACACTGATGAAACAGGCCTCATTTCATGCACATGGCCACCAACCTCAAGATGGCGTCCCTGCAAAGTCATTTTTGACAGGTTAGAAAAAAAACAAAGTTCAATACAGTATCACGTGATAACATGATCAACCGAACGTTTTACATGATACTGCGTATTCCTTTTTAGAAGATACTGTAACTAAGTGGCAATGTTAAAATGACAAACCTGACAAACGGGATGTAAGAAAGGCTGTACCTGGAAACAAAACAGCATTTTGAGTTCAACACCGTCTGCAAATGGGAGGTGGTATTTGAAAAAGAATGATAATAAACTCACCAGCTGAATGACAACACTTGCAGGATGACAAAAAACAACGCCAGACCAAAGTTTTTCCACTGGAACAACAACAACAAAAAAAAAGATGCAGTTACTGGCAAGTGGACTTTAACAAAAGCTTTGTCAAAGTGACATCATGACTCAGGAAGTCACTCACCCAGAAAGCGGCGCACAGCGTCAACACTAGGCAAGTCTGGAAGAATAGTATGAAAATCACATTTGCATAAGCATTGCACCAGAAGTGTCAAACTTATTTTAGTTCAGGAGTCACATTTATCCCAGTTTTAGTATATTTGCAGCCTGGCAAGCTATAAATAATGAGAATTATATAGTTCTCATTTTTACCACAATCATTTCTTAGCTTGTTGCAAATCGTTTGAGCACTCTGAAATCTCATATTTTTAAAAAATGAGTGCAATTTCAACAGTATTATGAGTCAATGTTTTAATTACACATGCAACTCGAACACCAGATCTATATATACACTGCACGTACCTTTTACAAAATAACTTATGATCTAAAAACCATTGTCAATGTACAGAAATGTTCACAAGGTGGCCCACTGGCCTAGGATTTTTTATGAAGGAGGCTCACTTTGCTCCTAAAACATGCCATTGTTTAGCTTTCACAAGTGTATCAAACTCTAAATAACAGTCATTTTCAGAATGCATTGAAGTGGACTTCACTGTACTTGTGTCGTTTTTTTTTTGTGTGTGCATGTGCTCACAATCATGATGGTGGTGGCCAGCGCTCTGGTCTTGTCACACATCCTCTTCAGCTGCTTCACGGGGCCCATCAGGAACATGGTGCTATGTGGCGCAAACAATCATGGCGATACAGCATTCAGTGGAAATGAAAATAAGTTTACATACCCCTCTTTAAGTGCCAGGTTTTTGTTAATTTCAGAAATCTTCCACCATTAATGTGACCCGTACAACACACAAAAAAAATTAGACCTGGCTTTTGAACGGGGGTGTGTAGACATTTTCTATCCAACGTATAAATATTGTACATCAATGGAGATGACAAACGATCACACACTGGCACACGCACGAACCTGCCCAGGGCACAAATGTTGCCAAAAGTATAAAAGACGATGAAGAGGATGAGGCCGATCCTGGGGAGGAAAAGTAAACATACCCCCTGCAAACACACATAATGCATACTTTCTTTTGAAAAGAGCAGAAATATTAATAAATGTGATGACATTTTGTGAATTAATGAAAATTATACCAATCCATCCATCTATATATATATA